TCGTTGTAAATAATCTAAAATAAAAAATAAAATTTATTTAAATAAATTAATACTTACTGTTTGATTTATCATTGGAAACAATCTAAAAATAAAAAATTAGAATAGGCGAAATTAAATGCTTTCATATCATCGAATTTCATCGGATCCAACGATTTCCACCTATCGGATGTCATCGGATCCGACAATTTCGGACTATCGGATCTCATCGGATCCTGTCGCCGGAATCCAACAGAATCCGACAATATCCGACGTCGGAAATTAACGGATAACGAAGGTTTCCGACCGTCGGAATCCCATCGAATCCGACTGTCGGAAAATGTCGGATAATCACGGATCCGATAGGATCCGGCAGGGTGAGTTTTCCCTGGGTTGTTCAGCTTGTTGTCTTCATAAATCAGAATGAAAAGCAAATTTTACTAAACCAACGAACAAGTTTAAGCTAAATTATTTATTTATTCAATTGTTTCTTCAAAAAAATTACATGAAGCATACACTATGCATAATGATATACATTGAAATTCTCTTGATATATACCATACCGATACAGACTACATGACAATTGATGTATTTTTCGAAAATAATCATTATTTGAACAATTCTAGAAATTATCTTTCATTTCAAATTCTAATATCAGAAGGAAACAACAAACCATATCAACAACTCCATCATTAGCTATATGCATACATGTATGTATCTTTTATCATAATATAATCAGTTCAACCTTGTCGATCAAGTTGTTCATTTTCAATTTGTCGAATTGTTTTCCAGAAAACTAAACAAATGATACGTTTTATTACAATCAAACAAATTTTTCATATTAAACCTTCAGATACTGAACGATTTGTTCTTATTTGGTTATTCATTAAACATTCTTCAGCATCATATCATATATTGAAATGTTTTGCTTCTCTAATATCTTGATTGATTTCATCATCATATGTTAATGACTAGATAAAGTATATTCTATAAAATACTAGCGAAAATCCGTGCATACTGCATGGCTGTTTTCTCCTTTAACGTATGACCTCAGATGTTTAACTTTTCATCCGGTAACAGATATACACCCAGGCAAACAAAAATTTTGGAAAATGCATTTAAACGCACAATCGGGAACCGCGACTGTGATCCATTCACGCTCGTTAAAAAAACGCACGGAAACGCGTTTATTGGCATGTTTTGTAACTTTCTGGGCGTCAAAACGGCGAAAATTTCAGTTTTTGAGCGTTAAAACGTATTGTTTTTAAGTTCTAGAATAATACCCTAGTGAATGTACTGAGCTAAGGGTACCCGAAAAAGTACCCTGCTACTAGTATGTCACAGGAACTTTCGGGTACTGAAGTACCTTAAAGTACTTTTAGGTACCTATAAGGTACTCGACCAAGTACCCTGCTGGAAAGTATCCAGTAAATAGGTACTTGAAGGTACTGATCAAGTACCCAACTGGGTACTATTGTTCAGTAATTTTGGGTACCCTGTTGCCAAACTTGCAGTATGTTGATGATCGAAACTAACCTCTGGCTTTTTTTCATTTTTGTTTCTCTCAAAGCAATTTATGATATTTTCTCGATTTTATTTTATTTTATTTTGCTATTTCTGAAAAGCCAAGCAGGTCAAATTTCGAGATCTGACCGGACGCGAATTGGTCGGATCTCCATCAGACCACTTCAAGGTAGTCCTCTCTCAATCTATGATTGAGATTAGCATGTCTTCGACTAGTAAATAGTCAAGAAAAATAATCTAGAAAAAATTAGTATGAAAAAATATTTTTTTCTTATGCTTCCTCGAGTTGCTTATATGAAGCCGTATATGCAAAAGAAAACGGTGAATGAACAGTTGCTACACAGAACGCAACAAATCTAGGGTACCCTGTAGAGCTTTTCCTAGTAAAATTACAGGTGCGGGTACTCATGCAAGTACTTGTTCAGTAAACATACTGCAATGGGTACCCAATGCAGCACCTACGTCAGTATAATTACTGAAAATTTTCGAAGTACCCATATCGGGTACCCTGCTAAGGCTTTCTCAGTACATGGGTACCCTGAACTCAGTACTTTCTCTAGGGTAGTGCGTTTTAACGCTCAAAAACTGAAATTTTCACCGTTTTGACGCTCAGAAAGTTACAGAAAACGCCAATAAACGTGTTTCCGCGCGTTTTTTAACGAACGTTAATGGCTCACAATCGCGGTTCCCGATTGTGCGTTTAAACGCGTTTTTCAAAATTTTTGTCTGACTGGGTTGTCTTAACTTTCATATATAAAAAGTATGAGATAAGATTTCAAGTTATTTTTGTCTGTCATTACACATCACATTTGTATTATAAACAAAATTATACCGTGGGTATCAATTTTCTCTAGAGAAATGTGTTTTTCAATCAAAGCCTATTTCTATAATATCTATTGTGTATAACTTCATGAGTGCTTCTTGAACATTATATTTTCTTCAGACTTATTATCTCTTCTATAAACATTTGTCTTACATAATACTTCCTGATATCAGAGACTGTGAAAGTAGGAAGAGGATGGGGAAGAGTTGTAACTGGTCCGATCTTTACCGTTTGGAAAAAACTTATGTAGATGTACTATTTTTCTGAGATAAAGATTGTTGAGAGCGAGTTTTCTTGCTCTTATCAAAACGATCACACAGTGTAGTTTCAAGAACTTTTAATTTTCTTTTCTCCTGTTCGCCCATACTATTTTATTTCTTTAATCGAGGTATATTTCGATTTTTTTTAAAAAGCACAATCAAAGTTCTATTTGTTGAGCTAAACTGATATCATCTGTTCTTTGGTAAAGATCAAATTTGGTTTTGGATTGTTGTTCGTAGAGAAACGTTTCATTTGTCTGAACAGACTAAGTGAGAAAATTCAAAGTCTGGAGTTTAGTAATCAGTTGATGGGTAAATGACTCTTTTTTTCGCACTATATATAGAAATATTGTAAATACATCTCTAAGAAACCTAACAGATATAAATGGATATAACATGATATTTCTTCGTGGAGATATACAAAAAACCTGAGTGTGAGAAGAAAAATGAATGTTTCTTGCAGTTATTTCCATTACTGTCCGATATTTGATTTGTTTGGAAAGTCTAGATTACTTTGTATATTAGTTCTTTTTTGTCATTTTTATTTATATTGGTAATTTTAATTGTACTATCATGAACAATAGTTCTAGAGAAAAAAATTTAAATAAAAAGCAATTCTTGTTTTGCATAGTTTTTAGAAAAATTTCAACAAAAATAAGTATCGTATGGAAAAAGTTTTCCAGTAGATGTCTTATGAAGACTGTATTCAAAAAACTATCACACAAATGTAAAACATCAATTATTTTCCTTGATTATCTATGTATACCAAATCTACAGATTTTCACGTGAATTAAAGTTATTAGAAAATGACATACTCACATCATTCGTAGCATATGCATCGATTAGATTGAATATCATTTTTAGTTATAAGAATTTATTAATATTTGAAAAAACGTAGGAAAAACATGATACGCTTATTTCTAACTACAAGAAAAGCAATATAACGAAGAATTATAGTTTATTAGAGGATAAAACATAGTAATATAGTATAATGTCTTTTTCATATTAATAATAGTTCATGGATTAGCAAGACTAGTAACGTCTGTTTGTGATAGTTCTCGATTGTAAATATAGAGTTCATCGATATAACCCTGATAAGAGCTAGTTGCAGAAGTAGACCAACAACCGTAGCCATAGCCTATGTAAAGATTCGCCAATGTGCTGGCCATTGCGTATGACAGAGCGCCAGTTGCACCAAAAGCAACTCCATTAACATAAAATGTGTATCCATTTGTAAGACTATATGTCAATGAAATGTGTGTCCATGTATTTTGTGTTGCAAATGGACCAGTCAACCAGGATGAACTGGAACTAGCGCTGTGTACAATAATCTGTCCCGCTGATCCAGTGTATGAGTAAATACCAAGCAAAGTTTCACAAGATGATGCACTAATAGTTGTCCCAAACATCTAAATAATTGCCATATTGCTGGTTGAGGGCTGGATTTATCCACAAAGCAATGGAAAATGGTTTGCCATTCGTGACCCCATAAGAAATCTGATAAATGCCATAAACTCGAAAATATGATGATGATGCTCTAAGAAAACGCATTGCTTCATTAACACGTCTAGCAGCTGTGGCTATGCTACTCGATGTTCCATCTAATCCATTCGGACCATTGTCAACGGTTGGATTAGGAAAATCAAATGAATAATAAACCATTAAAGATGCATCACATAAAATTTCTGTCGAAGATTTTGCTCTTGTTGTTAATGCTACATTATCAATATAACCGTTAAAAAAGTTTGTGGTCGAATAGGCTTGAGCTGAACCAATATGAATACTTCCATTTTGTCCCTGATAAGGTTGTGCATTTGATTTGATAGCATCTTGAATTCCATTGAGATATAATATTTGTTGCCGTGTTTCATAATTATAAACAAATGCAATATGATACCAGTAAGTAGTTGAAATGATCGTGGAACCAGATAAATAATTCGATGTGAAATCAACATACAAGCGATTATTTCGAATAATTAAATAAAAACATTGATTTGCACAGCCTGCACATTGACATTGACCAACTATTCCACGATCAGAGGTAGACGGTGAATAATAAATCCAAGCTTCAATTGTAAAACTTGTATAACTTAAATTAAAAAATGGAGTCGAAATCAGAAATGATTGATTTGATGTTGCAACTAAATTAAGTGCTTGACCATGTCCTACATATGGTAGATTAGTTGAAGCAGCAGGCGTATATCCTGCACTATTCATTAGTTGACCGTTATAAACATCATATGAATCTGCTATTGTATTATCAAAAGTCCAATATGCAGAAACATTTACTGCAGATGCAGTAGTTGTTGTTGTACTTGTTGTTTCTATACAAAAAAAAATATCAAATAGATCAATCATTTATTGAATACACTTGCCAGTACGAGAATTTTAATCTTTTTTTTTCTTATTTTTTTAGTATCCTTTGAACACTAAAGTTTTTATCCAGAGAACTTTTTCTTATGAGTAATTATAGAAAACTAAGATAGAGTTTAATGTTTAGGAGATGTCCAAGATTATTTAAAACAAGTTTACCTTTTG